TGTTAACATTTTGGATTGACCAAGAGCACTGTAGTTGTACAATAACAAAATTAATCCTCAAAAATGTAACTTGCCTAATAATTGTGCACACAGTGTAGAAGGTCTTTCAGGGTCCATTGGACCCCAAGAAAGAATATGTGCAAAATATTTGTTGGTATTCATTATAGACTTTTATACTATGTTAAATGCATTTTCTGATAAGTTGACATATTTTGGTTGTAAATGCTTGACAAATGTCCCTCTTTTTATTTAAAAAAATAAAATCTCCAAAACTGAAAAAAACAATACCTGTTACCTAAACCAAATGGCCTGGGGTCCAAAAGACCCCAAAAGTCCTGAATAGGGTTAAAGACTGAATGAAGAGGTTTCACTTGGTTTATGTCTCTAATATGTACGACCTTAACCTTCAACACCACCAGCCAACCAGCTTTGAAAGGCTTGTTGTCTTTAAAAGAAAAAAATCCCAAATTACACAAATCTATCTGGCAGAAATGTTAAAAACAGAATTCAGATTTTCAACTTTCCGATTTTGAGCTAATCTCAGGTGACGTGTAATTCTGTAAAACCTGAAAAATTCTTTGCCCTTTGGCACAACCAATAAACCTTTAGTGTCTCTGCTGTGACCAACAGTAACGTGACAAAAATTGAGGGACTTTTTGGCTGAACTGCAGGCTGTGTTTACACAGAGCAGATAGGAGACAAGTATGGAAACAAATTGCAAAGGTAAGTAGTAAAATATCTGTAATAAGTCACAATGTTTTGCTAGTATTGGTAACACCTGCTGGCACTTAGAAAAACATTGTGCACGCTGATCCCAGGTTTTTAGATTTTTCATCAAAAAAAAAAGAGAAAAAAAAAGATGACTTGCGGTTTTATAACTATGTTAAGCGACAGAATAGATGTTTTTGAGTTCCCTCCACCTCTAGCCGTGGCTCTGCTGTTTCCACTGAGGTGCAGGACTTTATATTGCAGTGAAAAATGAGCCCACAGTGAGTGAAAACATGACAGGAGCAAAAGAACACACAGAAACTGCTTGGAGTTCAGAGGGTTAAGAGAAGCTGTAATCAGACATACAGTCAACAACAGCAGCAGCCCCGTGCAAGCTGAGACCTCCATAGCAGGCATTCATATCCTCCCACACAGTTAAAACACACAGAGCTCCTCGGGCCTCCAGCTGTAACCCTGAGATCATTTTTCATGTACTCAGATGCCCTCTACAGGACAGATCTTAGAACTCTGCAGGAAAAAAAAAACTTAAGTAAAAATACAAAATAATTGCAGCTAATAGACTATAATAATTGATAAAACTAAATGAAATGAATCAAACAGTTTTATTATACTTTCTCAAATATAGCTTTACTTACACAAAATAAACACTTTTTATTTTCTAATAACATATCAATCACAATGCAGCATCCTGTATGTACAGTACGTACACACACACTTAACACCTGGAGAAAGATGTCTAAATGTGTATATATGTATATTATAGTATATTACAGTCAGTTTTTACACTTACATGTGATTTTTCTATATTACAGAGTCAGTGTAAAGCAAAAGGTGGAGGAATTGTGCGTTGACCAGCGTTCAAAGTGTAATTTTTCCATCTCCGTGCCATATTTGGATGGACAGAGATCCATTTGTTGTTGTTTGGCTTTAAAAAAAGTAAATAAATTAAGGTTCACAAAGCTTCATAACAGGCTGAACAACTGTTGTGTTTGCTGGTAGAAACACTAAACCAGCATGGATGACTGAAATGAAACCTTAGAGAGTCATCGAATGTGGAATATCTTCCCATCACCCATAAAGTGGGTGCTCTTGAGGTACTTAAAAGGCTTCCATGCGTTACGATTTTTCTTTGCCAAAGAGGTTTCAGTCAGCACTGATGAAAAATCGCCAGCAGCAAAATGATAACATTAAGGGTGAAAACGAAATCTCATCAATTTTGTTAATAGAGATGTTTTAAATTGTTTTATATTTTGTTTGGACTTTTGTTGCGTTAAAGTGCTTTGAGTTGAGTTGAGATTTAATTTATTCAAGCATGACATTGTTATCAAATGATCAGAAATAACAAGAAAAGGCATTGATTTCCATCTGATAAGGTAAAACAGAATCACTGTACGGCCAGAAAAACACTGTGCTTGAAGAGCTGCAGGAATAAATACGTCCAATGTTAGATCCTACAGATGAAGAAATGAGGAAAGTTCAAGTTTTCGCAAGTCTTTCTTTTCCATTTCTGCTGTTCTTATTGGTCGTAATTCAAGTTTTTAACCTTGCTAACATATCCATATCCATATGCATTTTATTTTTTATTTTTTTAATCTGTTTGATGACATATCATGAGTGAAATAAATGGTAAACGCCATAGCTGAGTATTTCCACTTTGAGGCTGCAGTGTACTGATGGCAGTCTCCATCAGTCTACACGTGCAACTCTGATACACACGGATGCTTTCCTGATGTGATCTCAATGTAAGTCAGGTCCAGTCATTTTGTTTCCTTGTACAGTGGTTCTATGCTGAGCTGCAGCAGAAAGATATTTACAAAAATAGTTAACTGTGGATGTAAGATGGTAAAATTTTGGAAGATATCTTAAAGCACAACCTGCTGAAGGCTAATGTATTAGCTTCAGGTTAACTGTTCAATACATTTTTGGAGGGAAAGGAGCGGACCTTGGAGTATGTCTTCATCACTTACATTCAAAACACATCGGAAAGTATCCTTTCTTTCCCTAAAAGAAGGAATCTTTTAGGGTCTGGTATGAATAAGAGGAAAAATGATGACTCAGCATTCATATGGGTGCCTGACTATTATCTTAAGACAGATTACAACATTTACAACCTAATACATTCTGCATGTGGGTGGATACATTTTATGAATGAGAAGTGTCAGTGCTGCTGCTTGATACCACTTAAACAGCCAGCCGGTGTGTTTACTCCTGCAACACTCTAAAAATAATCATCTGAGGTAGCACCCTCACCCCCCTCCCTCACCTCCCTCCTTCCTGCTCTCCCTCCCTGAGAATCACAACATGCAGCCTGAGAGGGGACGCGTCTGGCTGCTGCTTCTATTTCAGGACGTGCTGAAAGTGTTGAGAATCACCCCTACCGTGGACATCATCATTGTCAGAAACAGCCCAATTATCTTCCTGTCCTCTTTCCAACTTTTCAACGTTGTCTTCTGCTGCTCCTCCATGCGCTTCTTGCGGGCCCTCATCTCCCTCTCTCTCTGCAGCTGCTCCCCGTAGTGACCCCGATAAAAGGCATCAAAATCAAATATGGGTTTTCCCCCCGGTTGAGTGAACTGCCTGGCACTGTGCTGCTGCGGGGAGCCTGTGGATCTGCCTGTGCTCTCTTTGGAGGATGGCCTCCCTGCATTTTGGATGTCGGACTGGCTCAGGATGCCCCGGTCATACTTCCTCCTCAGGCTGATGTTGCCCAGCACGGTGTACGCCTCGCTGATCTCAGAGAAGCACTGGATGGCCTCATTGCTGCCCGGGTTCTTGTCAGGGTGGTAGATGAAGGACTGTTTATAGTAGGCTGTCTTGATCTGGGACTGTGTGGCGCTGGGGGACACTTTGAGGATGTCATAATAGGCCGTCTTGCTTCTGTGCAGCAGAGGAGCATCTCCTGAACTCCACCTGTAGCTTCTAGTTGATGTAGAAGCGTTCAGGGTATCAGGGTGTAGTTTCCACCATGCTGATCTCTGCTCTGCCAGAATGAAGACGACAGTGCAAAAAGCTCGGAGCTGCTGAGTGGACCTGAAGGCATCAGGGTGGATGGAAACAGCTGCTCTGGTCCAGGCCGTCATCCGGCAGGGCTGCAGCTTCTCCTGGAGGAGACCTGCAGACAGGAACAGGGCTGTTTTATGAACATGTAGGTTCTCTCTGGTTTCAACCAACCAAATTAAACGTGGTGCAGTCAGCTCCACAGAGGTGGCACAAAGCAAAGTCCCATTTCCCTGCTGGCTGTCACTTCTCTTCACTCTGGAAAGTTTCTGTGATCTGCGTCGTGTTGTTTTGGTCGTGGACACCGACTGAACTTCACGTTGATCCAGAACAGATTCCTCTTCAGCCCGGCTGCCACCGGAGCCGCAGCTTACCGGGAGACTTCCGGGGTCTCCTCCGGTGCTCCTCGGTCGACTGTAGCCGGTTCTGAGAGCGGACAGCCGGTAAGCGCCGCTGCCCAGCCGCTGACCGACCTCTGCCATTTTGCCGAGGACAGGCCGGTGAGCAAACCGGAAAACGGCCGACGCTTCCGGCGCGTCATAAACCAAAGAACCAATCAGAGTCGATGTTTAGCACCACCGCCGACCAATGAATCTGCAGAACAGAAAGCGCGTCAGTAAAATTTTTATCTTGTGAAAATAAATATATAATTACATGGATTTTTTCCAAATAGAAGATTAGAGAGCCGGTTATTTCCAAGAAAGATAGTACATTTAAAATAATCTTTGCGTTGTCGGTTATTTTGTGTCTCTTTGTGGTCATGTTATGTCCGTCTGTAGTATTTTTCTTTTTTATCTCTTTGTGGTCAGTTTGTGTGTCTTTACTGACGTTTTTATTAAACTTTATTTAACAAGTGCACATATACAAATTTTACAAATTGCATGGCGGAAGATTAAATAACGATGACAGAGGTGCACCTTAAAGGGTTGCATAAGAAGTTCAAAATAGCAAGATAAATTACACACATACAAACAAAAAAGAAAAAAGAGCTAGAGCTTATTTTCTAAATTATAGTCTTCAGTACTGCTTACTAAGTCTAAAGCAATTTTATTTTTCAGGGCTTTGACATGTAAAAGAAATTAATTATGAAACACAGTAAATCTAGGTTTTACCTTCAGGAATTTTGATCTATGAATAAAACATTTACCAAGGGTTGGGATATAATTAAACAAGGAGTCATTACTGCTACGGTTCATTATTAGTCAAAAAATTATGTCCTTTGGGAGGAAATTATTCAGATGAGGAATCTTTGGAAAGAGCCAATTATGAACGTCCAGCCAAAACACTTCAGAACACATACATTGCAAAAATAAATGGTCAGTAGTTTCAGTGTCGTCACAAAACACACAATTATTAGTTTTGATACCAAATCTTTGTCTGAACAAGGCACTGGATGGGTACACACCATTTAAGGTTTCTTTGTAGTTATTGTGCTTCTCTTTCCTATTGTGTCCTTTTGCATCTCTCTCTAGTTTGTGTCTTTCTGTAGTCATTTTGTGTCTGCTTGTGATAATTTTCTATTGCTTGGCTATCATTTTGTGTCTTGTGTAGTTGTTCAGTGTCTCTTTCTAGAATTTTTTGTTTATTGCTTTGTGGTGGTTTTGTGTCACTTTAGTCTGTGTTTCTTTGCAGCCCTCTGTGGAAACTAAATAAACGGAGATTTCAAATGTTATTTTATACACACACACACACACACACACACACACACACACACGCATACATATAACATTTTTGATTATTTTCAGTTTATTTTTTTTCTTCTGCTGTTGATGTTATGTTGATGAAATACCTGTCTCTTTATAATTAAAAAGAGAATTAAAAATTAGTTATATTTAATCTTAGTTCTTTTTTTTAAAAGATAGATGCTCAGTGGGTGGCGCCCTTCACAGGAAACCACGTTTATTAAACTCGACGAAGAAGTTGCTGCTTGCGTCGCTTGTGGATGACGTCGCCGTATTTCACGTGTGGGTCGCCTGCTGCCTCAACGATTAGCTTGTTTATAATCTGAATTTATTGATACTGTACATATCGACGCACACTCAGAGGAAACATGGCCTCCAGCTGTCGACGACCCGAGCACTCAGCTCCTCCAGATGTGGTCAGTTTCACGGTTTATTGTGTTTTTAGCTGCTGGAATCTGACAATTAGCTTCTGCACCGTTTTGGATTTTTAAAGGTCTCTGCTAATGAAGCTTAGCATCTCAAATAAGGCTGATTTATTGAGCAGTTGGTTAAGTAGTCAAGCATTATTTTAACTCTGGGATTGGCAGCGTCCCGTTTTTTCCATGTAGGTTTGTTTCGTCTGGTGTAATGAATTTCTAAGAGGCTGAAACTGGAGCTACAGTTGTGCTTGCAGCTATTGTTATTGATCTGCTAATCTGATCTGCTCTTATCTTTGCAGTTCTATAATGAAGAGGAAGCAAAGAAATACTCTCAGAAGTGAGTCTGGATGTTGATGATGTTAACTCTGTGTCAGCCTCTTGAACATTTTATATGATAATAGACAACTCTGCCTTAACAGGGTTGATGTTTTTGACCTCTATTTTAATGTTTTTATTCTGTACTAATCTTCAGTTTTGTGAACAGCACCTTTTACATGTTGCTCATAGTTTAAGTGTGTGTTCTTGCATGTTTGTGTTTTACACAGTCTGCTTTCTATATATTCTTTGTTAGTTTTGTTTGCTTGCTTTCTTGGTAAATGTGTACAAGTGTAGAGCTTCAACTTGTAATCAAGTTAATTAAATTCTTACTGGTTTTAGGATGCAACATTATATTCCCCAAATCTTAGTTTCTCATTACTCTGGCTCTCTGATTTTAAGACTTTAGGGACTTTTCCTGTTCTAACATTGAGATTTAGATGTAGTTGTGACAGTACCGTGACTTTTAGCATCAACAATATGATGCTGAATCTCTGGTCTTGTACAGCTCAAGTGTATTTTATTAGTTTGAATGCATTAAAAAGAGAAAAACAGAATAAGATCAATGAAACACCACATCTCCTCTGTACACTTTCACCAGGATGACTTTACTTTGATATGTGCTGCTGTTGCTGAAAGACTCCAAATCATATAACTTTTTTTGGTGGAACATGAATTCACATATCATTAACTAGATTTACACTTTATAAAGACAATGCCTGTTGTTGCATTGTATAAACTGACCTTACTCCTTCAAATTATTGGTATGCCTGGGTTTTAAAAGTCTCATTTAGACTGACTTTATCCATTAGACAAAACAGCATTGTGTGGTCAACTATCAGTAACTACTTGTCTGATTCTGTGTACTAGTAGAGAGTTCAGTTTGCTTAATATATATGGAGATCACATACGAAACAGTGTCAGAAATCATGTTGTGTTTGTTTTGCTTCATAGCTCTCGAATGATTGAGATCCAGACCCAGATGTCAGAGAGAGCTGTGGAGCTTTTAAACCTGCCAGAGGGACAGCCCTGCTTTCTACTAGATGTCGGGTGAGGGAGTGACATGTACAATGTTTACGCTATTAACTTAAAGCAGCACTTGGAGTTAGAAATAATACAATAATTTTTAATTCTCACAGTTAGTTAGTCTAAGCATAGCCTCAGTGGGATGTGATTATTTTTGCCATGCTGAATGAAGAGATGCTTATGTGTGTCTACATGACAGTCAGACTTTTCTGAATGTTTTATTGGACATTTATTTTTATGTTTGCTAAGTTTTAGCATAACCCACTGTAAGAGCCAGAACAGTCCAATAATGCTGTACACTTGTGATGACAAACTGACTGTCCTCTGTCTCTCAGCTGTGGCTCTGGTCTCAGTGGAGACTATCTGTCAGAGGAGGGACACTACTGGGTTGGAGTCGACATCAGCACTGCAATGCTGGGTTAGTCTGACACTCTTGCATTTAAACAAGATGCTATAGCTGAATGATATACCCATATAACATTGATCGTGACTAAAATATCATATTAATATATTACACTAATTGTCAAGATTTGATTACCTTCATAATGTAACCTAGTTAAGTTTACTTGTTCAAGTGTAAAGCTAAATTACAGTCAAGTGATGCAGCATTTAGAAAAACAGACATGATTGACATGAACAATGAAATTATTTTGCCATATTGATGTCACCTGTAATGATAATAATGTTAATGTGGTAAAACATGGATAGTTTTACCCAAAGTATTGTGCTAGGACTGGCGTGTGTTCCCAAAAGAATCCCAGCTGCTCACAAAATCCAGACCAGTTTTGAAGAAGAAAATCTTAAAATCAGACGCACATATTGTGCATGAATAAAGTCAAGCTCCGGGCACTTGCTGGCTTTGAATATTAAGTTCTAGCTTTGAGAGCACCCGGGGCTGCAGATCAACATCAATAAACTTTATAAGATGTTGCACAACTTTGTTTACCAAGTATTTTTATTTTTTCGTCTTCATCAAGATGTTGTTTTGTGGTGGTTGTTTCTGAGTTTTATATACAATCCAATGATAAATCATGCAACATGTAGACCGCCAATGTTTTACAAAACTTGCAGCTTCTTTTTAGCTGGAAGGTTTTTGTGTATTAAACAAAGATCACATCCAAAGTTTCTTCTGTATTTTTAGATTTTATGTTTTTAAGTGTACATTTATGTGACTGGGTGATGTGGATAAATTCCTGAAACACTGATCAAATGTAAACGTCTTCCCTGAGACAGATGTTGCACTGGACAGAGAAGTAGAAGGAGACCTCTTATTGGGGGACATGGGACAGGGGATGCCTTTCCGACCCGGCACCTTTGACGGCTGCATCAGGTGAAGGACTAAGAGTGCTTACGCAACAAGATGAAGGACTTTCACTGAAAGTTCAAGTGATTTCTCACTTTGTTTTTTACATTATGTTCTCTTCCCTCTCAGTATCTCTGCCCTGCAGTGGCTCTGTAATGCAGACAAAAGGTCACACAGTCCACCAAAGAGACTCTTTAGCTTCTTTAGCACTCTGTACTCATGTCTGGTAAGGTTTTATTTGTCCTTTGGATTCCTTTTACAATTCAAACATCCAGTTACCTTTTTTTTTTTGTGATGAAGCCTTTTAATCATTTCTGTTTGCTCTTTCAGTCAAGAGGCTCACGTGCAGTTTTCCAGCTTTACCCTGAGAACTCGGAACAGGTGAAAAACATGACCTCCACTTTTGTGTTGACTTTGAGTCCTCCTGAATCCTTTTACTCACCTGCAGTTTAACCTCTTTCCTTGCTTAAGCTGGAGCTGATCACGACGCAGGCCATGAGGGCAGGTTTCAGTGGAGGCATGGTGGTGGATTACCCCAACAGCAGCAAGGCCAAAAAGTCAGTACCGTTCAGAAACAGGCTTTTATTATGACGTGTTCAGCCACAGCCGTCCGCAATTGATTGTTTCTTAATAACCTGTGAAATTAGTATCAGTGTACTCAGAACACAAGGTTAATTAGAGCAGGATGATGTTCATATTGATTCAACTGTTTGTCACATTAGCCACGTGATAAATTGGTAAACATGAAGGTGTTTGCTGGATTTTCATTCACACACTGCTTGTTTACCTCCAGGTTCTTCTTGTGTTTGTTTTCTGGAGTCGCAGGAGTCCTTCCCAAAGTAAGAAACACAGGAGTTAGTGGTTAACAGAGTGAATGAGTGCTTTTTGTTTTATATACGTCATGATCACTGTGGTCTCTTTTTGTGTGTTTCAGGGATTGGGGTCAGAAACATCAGACAGAAATGTTCCAAACCAGGTTCAGTTTTCAGGACAAAGGTAAAGATATTCGTGGACTCTGTGGAGTTTATTTCAGCTTTTGTGGATGTATTTGTTGGTGTATTTTACTCAGACAAATATAAGTTAATGAGATACAGCCTGAGGACGTTGAAGGCTCGGATAAAAGTGTTTTAATTGCTCTTATTTTTCTTAATGTGTTTACTATCTACTGTTCAGTGTTGACTGCTGAAATGAAAATGTACCAAATGTATGAGATTTAACAGCCATATATTTTAATTAGCTGTTTGTTTTGCTTTTTTTCTTTTTTAAACATTTTGCGAACAAAATGATTTGTGAGGGAAATAATTGTCCTATTAATTGATCTGGCTGTTGTAATTTACTCTCATTAGGATAATTCATGGTTTGTATTTGATTTCTATGAAAACATTCCGTTTATTACCTGCCGTTGGGATCATAAGCAGGTCTTGGCCTCGATAAGTGCAGGTTCAGTCATACCTGCCTTGATGGAGCCTAAAGACCAAAAGAAATGTGAAAGGGCTGTTGTCCTGCCTGACTTGAAACCCTGTCAGGCAGATTTTCCTCCTTTTTACATTCTAATGTTCAAGTCTCTGACTGCATGTTTGAGGTATTTTGCATCAGAAGTTTTGTAGCAAATACACATTTTAAATACATTAATCAGCTGCACTTTGTCTCTGTCAAGATGCCGTTTTAAAAACATGAAGGGGAAATCGTTGAAGAAGGGACGAGATTGGATCATGGAGAAGAAGGAGAGAAGGAGAAGACAGGGGCGGTACGTACATGACTGTATTTAACCTCTTACAGGCCTATAATAGGATGTGTTAGGATTTCATGAGCTGAAATGTCCAACCTCTGAATGTTATAGTATACTTAATATGAGCTTTAATTGAATTCCACCTCTGATTAGCTGTATTTTTTAACACTCACCTCCTCTCTCTCCGCTGTGTATTTTCTCTCCTGCAGGGAGGTTCGAGCCGACACAAAATACACCGGACGTCAGCGAAGACCTCATTTCTAGCTCTGACTCATGCAGCTGTGCCTTCATTAGCCCTGGTCTGGAACGGCCCGCACACAGTCACCTGTGGAGAGGCTGAGTGATTGGACTCGGTTAATTTATCAACTCTTCAATTCAAGTCGATGCCATGCAAGTGTGAAATGCTATTATAGCCAATAGTTTTTATATTTCGGCGAGCGTTCCACAATTTGTTTCTCATAAATGGCGATGTGATTGCTGCATGTTCAGTTTGGCTGGAAGTACATGAATAAATGAGTGTGCTGCCTGCTGGTGGCAGAAAACACAGTGAAGACAACACGGAGAGTTGAATTTTTAGAAATGACAAAATGGCAAATCTGCCTTCCCTGATCAGCGGTTTATTGTATTATCTACAATATTTTCTTAATTAAAGCTAAGCAAAATTGCTTTTTGGATGTTTAGTCTTTTAATTGGGTGAACAAGCCCTATGTATTAGTGAAAACTACACTTTAACATTCTCAGTTGACAACAGCAACCGTGCTGATGATTTGGAATTTTTCTAGATTTTTTATGGGTAATTATTACTGGTCAAAAAATACATTAAAGATGTAAACCATTTTATAAGCATGGTGTTTTTGTTACAACAGAAGAGAAAAAAGTGGGATGGTTGCAATGAAATTGATAGTAAACTTAGATTACAGGGGTTTAGTAAAAGTACTAACACAACACTAAAACTACTCCTTTACAAGTAAAAGTCCTGCAATTCAAGTGTTACTTCTGTTGAAGTATGTAAGTATGTAATTAGGAAAGTGTACCTAAAGTACTAAGAGTAAATGTGCTAACTGCAGAAAGATGCCTCCTGTCACTTGTACACTTCTGAATTATTATTGCATTAATATTTATCGTTCAATAATATAAAATAATTATTTTACTGTTTTTCAAAATCCAACTACCAGGCTGCAACTTAATTTCACTGTGGATTCATCTGCTGATTTATATTAAATACTTAAATCATTAGGGTAGGCTACTTGAATAAAAGTAAAAGTTACATCCCATCGCTGGATCTAAATATATATAATTTGATATCAGTAACATTCCAGCAGTACCAAAGATACTTTAAAATAATACACAATAAGTATCTCATAAGAATACTATAATTTTCCACAATTAAAATAATTTAATACTTTTTATCCTGAAATTCTTTTTGGCTTTTAATGTTTAATGAAGGATATTTTGTGTGGAAAACAATGAAACTACCCATAATATGTAGTAAAAACATATATTGTAACATAGATGAATTAATAGACATAATGATAAATTACAAGTATATATATATATTCACATTTACATACATTCTTGTTTTCAATATTTTTGTTGTGAAAACATCGGCAATTATACAAGATATTAATTTACAAATCTATGTAGAATTACAGAATCAGTTCTTCTTTTGCTAATAATTGTCACTCGCTGCTTGTGATTTTAGACATTAGGATCAAATTGTGACACTGACAGTTCTAAAAAACAGATTTTGTCTCATACAAAGCTTATTTTACACTAGATATGTGAATTCACTGCTTATTTTATTTTTTAAATAATTGTACTGATATGTCCATCCTTTTTAAATATGGGGTGGGTGGATTTAAATTTTTATTTTATTTATTTATTCATTTATTTAACAGTGTCGCGTGTTTATTTAAATTCTAAAATCCTAATTTTTACAAACCACATCGGGATAACTCCGAGGTGTCAGTCCATTTCGCCAGAGGTCGCTGTTCGCTTTGGCACAATGGAGAGCACCTGGGCGTTATCTCTGAACCTGCTCAATCGATAATCACACTCAACACAATTTCAGCACTCAGACAGACTCTCTGCTCGGGTCAAGTCTTTATTAAACCAACCTCTGTGCGGTCAGACACTTATTCACTGAACTAAAAAGAAACTCTGAAAACAGGTTCTGGCTCGGAGAAGAAGAAGAAAAAAAAAATCAATTAGTGCGGAAGTTGCGGGTGCGTAATGGGTTAATGGCGGAAGGCCTCGCCTCACCTTTTGTGCGCGTCACCCGGCTCTGAAAAGTGCTCCCACCATCCCAGCATCCAAAACCAGAGCAGAAAATCACCGCCGCCAGACGCGCCTCCTCGCCTCGGTCACATCAGCCTGGTCGGTCTCCGCCCCGCCGCTCCATCATCATCACCAACACGCATCCAGGAGACGACGGGAACTGAAGGAATAAGAGTGATTTACGGGCGAAAAAGGGAACCATGAAGGACCGCATGCAAGAACTTAAACATGTAAGTTTGGTTCTTTTACACTCGTCTGCAGCCACCTGTTCCGTGAGCGCCTTGTTTTGTGTGTGTGTGTCGATGTGTGCTTTTTATAGCGCGTCCAAAGAGCGCAGATGTACGGAGCAGGGCGCGCTGATTGAGCAACAGTTGTGACTCTCTGGGTCTGATGGAGGCTCAGATTTAAAACAGGCAGCGGGCGCATATTGCAACCGAGGTTTACTATTTGCGCAAAAAGCGGGTGATATGAAGGATTTTACGCATTTACGCAAAGTCAAAGTCATTTTCTCCTCCATTGTCTTATCGCACAATCACTTTGATCTCCCTCTTAAATCAGTTTAAAGGCTATTACAGCATGACTGAGGAGGGAGTTACTGGATAGACACTTTGTAGGCAGCTTAATTGGATCTGATCTCCACAGTGTGATGCGTTATTCAGTAGTAGATTTGTTTTCTGGAGTCTTTCGGAATTTAGTAGTTATTCAACAACAGTTGGATTGAAAATCGTGCAGCATTTGTGGAAATAATCCGCAGGTTCATTAATTATTTTGTGTCTGTGAGTGTGTGTGGTTTGATCGATCTGGCCAACTATGTGCGTGTGTGACTGGAGTAGGAAATTGGTCCCAGCTCGCCCATTTCACCTGCTAAATGTCCGCCCTCTGCGCGTCACAGCAGCCAAAAAACCCTTCACTGGGCGCAACGTTTTGTCTGTTTCCCGCAAGTGTTCTGCCATTTATTCCAGCTCTGTGCGTTCGGACAGAGACAGGACTTCAATCTGACATAAATTAATCCGTTTTTTTCTATTTTAATCCCCTCATGAAGATAAAGCCTTGAAAATCTTTGATTTGTGCGTTTTGACCTCCTGGCATTTGCAATCACCCCTGCTCATGTGACATCTAGTTTGGAAAAACAGTCTTGAATGGTTTGTTCACAGGCAAAATGAGACCAAGAGGATGGAGGACTGATTGGGTTTTTGGCTTGACAGATCCAGAGTCAGTGACAATCCTCCACAGGAATGCGACTATATAGGTTACTGTATGTGTCTGTGTGGTAAAGTGGCCTATGTCAGATCTGGGTAATTGGCAGTTAAGCTGAGGACAGAGAGGGGAAACAATTTACAGCTCCTCAGTTTTCAGTGAAGATCTAGCTTTGAATTGGCCTCAGGGGAGACAACCAAGCCTTGCCAATCCTGTGTGTGTGTGTTCGTGTTCAGGAGAGGCGTGTCTTCAGGCTGCCACACTGCTGGAAAGATGCAGTTGTACAATTTGAGACTAGAGAAATTGCCCAAATCTTCCTCAGCAGCTTCAGTTAGAAACCGTCCGCAGCCAAAATCATGTCAGACTGACAGCGATGGCATACCAGCTGCCAATTCGGTTTCATCAGTTCTGATCATTTTGTCTCATATGTGAGAATTGGCAGCTGGAGCGGCTCCAGATGGACCTTTTTAGACGATCCGGACCAAATAAATTTGAAATTGCAAGTCACAAAGTGTTATTTCCCTTCAGCACTAGATTAATATTGTTTTCCGTTTACAGCCTCGAGTTAACGCAGTTACTTGAATCTGGTGTAGATGTCTCTGTGGGTCTGGACAGCTCATTACAGCAGCACAGTAGGATGCATGTGTGATTATGTAAAAACTCACGACGCCAGTGCACAGAACCAGGGGTGCAGCAAATTGTAATTTCTAATTAATCTGTCCATTTTTTATTGGTTGTACATTGAAATATGATCATAACAAGCATCCAGAGCCCGAGATCACATCTTCAGATCGTGTTTTGACTAATCAACATTTTAAAACCAAAGATTTTAGGGATGTAAAGCAAAGAAAAGTGATAAATTCTCTCCTTTGAGAAGCTTGAACAAGCTAATTCAGTCATATTGACTTGATAAATTATCAGCTGATGGACCGAAACCTTTCAAGCCCCTGATTTAATTTGTAGAATTGTTGTGCAAATGAGCCCTTCTGAGATTTGGTGGTGAGATTTCAGCGAGTTGCTGCCAACACTTCAGCTCAGTGTGGCACAGAGTTGTGCTCAGTGTTTTAGTTGTAGCACCAAATACTTGACAAATCGTCCAGCAAAGTGGCACCACACCTTTTACTTCTTATTTTGCTGGTCCACTGATGAATCAAGTTGAAACATTTCAGCTCAGATGATTTTTACAGACCCTTGCAGGGCCATCAATGGTCTTTGCTTCTGGCTTTCTATTTTCACTGTATAGCTCTAATAGATTTAAGATGTTGGAGAGCCCCTTCAAGAAGTGCTACCTTCGGTGTCTGCACCCTGAGAACTTCAATTTCAAGGCCTTTGTGACCTGATTGGCAGCGAGAAAGAGCACCCTCGTCTATAAAACAGGAACCAGAGGTCTTATATGGTTTGGGAGGAGACTGTACAGTTAAACATCTGCTGATGGCTCAGTCTGAATTCATGCATCTCACTTCCAGACTGAGGGACATCTAGAAGGATTGGGTTGGAGACCAGAGTGCCCAGCTCTTTTTCATAGCTTTCATAAGTAGAGAAAAATTATGACTAAACAACTATATTTCTGTTGCATTTTTTTCACTGGGCTGCTAACTTTCACAATAGATATAAAACCAAACCCTGCACGGTGTATTCTAGTTGAGTACATCTACTCAAGGATGACCCCAAATATCTCTTCATGCTGATAGTTGACTCAGTCTGACTTACCAGATGTCGATTGCAGCCTTAAGTCTGCCATTGGTTGCACATTTCACATGGTTTCCTCTTTCCCTTACACTATTTGCGTGTTACCATTTACAAAAAGCCCTTCACTACAGGAAACAAGAAGAACCAAAAACTCTGAGCTTAACCTACCACAGTCAAAATTTTTGGTTTTTTCAATCTGTAGCGTGCAGTAAGGCAGCCCTGCTATTTTTTTGGCAGATTAACCATTTTATGGCAAGTACTCGTCTCCATGCATGCAAATGTTCAACCAAAACAACTCCACCTGTCAGTGTTTTGAAGGGACACCATTCCTGCATCTTTGGCTTAGCTCCATCCAAGATGATTGTGATTGGTTTAGAGATATACAAACAAGCCAGAGTTTATTTTGATTTTTAGAACAATGATAATGAGGAGGGGCTGCGAGGTGGCTCGGTGGTTAGCACTGTTGCCTCGCAGCAAGAAGGTCGCTGGTTTACGTCCCAGTGAGGACACCCAGGATCTTTCTGCGTGGAGTTTACATGTTCTCCCCGTGCAGCGTGGGTTCTCTCCGGGTTCTCCGGCTTCCTCCCACACAGTCCAAAAACATGTTGAGGTTAATTGGTGATTCTAAATTGTCCGTAGGTGTGAATGTGAGTGTGCTTGGTTGTCTGTCTCTGTGA